GCAAGACAGGTGACAGGAAGAAATAGAAGTGAAGGGATAAACAAAGTGAGAAATGAAGTAAAGAAGTAAAGAAGTAAAGAAGTTGTCTTGATCAATGTGCGAGGTAGCGATGAGCAGTTAATTCGTTGATTCGCACAAATGATCAAACCCCGCTCTCAGCTGAATGGTGGCATAATGTGGAACCCCTTCTTTCTTCCCTATTCCCTCTCTATGAGGGACGGTACTTCAAAGTTTGATGCAAAAACGCATGATCGCACCATCTCGCTTATTCATTCCAGCCTGAGTTTGACAAACAACCGCGTGAGCAACATTTTCATTTTTTACTGAACTGGAAATTTGCATTTTTTTCAAAAAATTTGCACTTCTCATTTTTTCAAAAAGCGTTTGCCGAAAAGTGACCGCGTTTCATGCAAAAATTGGTAATCTTGTACCAGGAGGTTCTTGCCGCTCTATAATGCACTACCGTCATCCCAACCGACTCCTTTTCTCCTGCATGCCGGAAGGGGCCTATATGAGTCCATGTGTTAGGCTGCAGCGCAGGGGTCGTTTCTGATTAGCAACCTGCGAGTTTAGCGCAGAAACGCGTGAACGCACCGGTAAGCCTAGTGCCTTCCAGCCTGGGTTCTATTAAATTTAAAAGCAGAATGATAAATGAAGTGAATTTCAAAACCACAAAATTTTTGTATATATCGCGGGTCGTTGCGACAACACCTTATTGATAAAGGAAATTTAATGTATTTGTTAACTGTATACATTTTGTGTAGAGCTGGGCAAATGGATATGCCAACTTGTAAATATCTTTCACGAGACGTAGATGCCAACATCACTGAGGCACGACTGATTTGTTTTTGTCGTTGGTTCAAGCATGTCGAGGAACCATGCAACAATGCGTACGTAAGATCCAAAGCGCTGGCATTTCTAATTTACGAGGAGAACGTTCATCAGGTGAGTCAGTTGCTTTCGCGAAAGAGGAACAGTCGTTTTTATGACTCGAAGGGTCTGGACATCTGAGTTGTCCCAGTTCTCGTGGTAATATCTCAGTTACTTTGTCAGTTCCTGTTTGCTGCGTAAGTTGGTTCAGCAACCAGGATCAACCTGAATTCCCAGATAAAATTACCTGCGCGCGCTATGCTCATTACAGTGCATTTCCGTGACACACGTATTTAATGTGGGCTGTCAACTGACATATCCTTTAACTAGGAACCCGCAACCGAGTGTCAAAAATGCATCAGTGCATTAGCTTATTGCTACTTTTTCGTTGAAGTATTGATGCATTCCTTTGTATGTGCACTACCATACCACATTATTTCAACAATGTCAGCTATTTCAATCAACTTAATCACTAATAGTTACTCGATATGTACTGCTAATAATTAATTGTAAACAGCAACAGATTGAATCTGTTGCAGTCGTGCTTGTTATGTATTTTTTACTGCAGCAACTGCACAAAACGCTTGTTGTCCAGACCCTGTGTCTGGGCGTGTGTGTGTGTGTTTGTGTCCGGAGTGCACTTTATCAAAAGCTTTCAACTTGGAAACCAAAGGAGTTAGGAAGTTGAAATTTTAAGGGGGTTCCCCTACTTGCGTGCGATCTCGCGAACCCAGATTCAGCACTCGCATATGCGAGGTCTCGCATACAGTCACATGGTGCTTTTGGCACCTGAATTTGCAACTCGGAGAACAGAAAAGCCAGGCAACTCAAATTTTGAGAGAGTTTTCCCTGCCCATGAAAGCCCAGTCAATTTAAATTCATTCTTCACGCACGCCTGGGTTTCGAATACGAACACGTGAAAGTTTTAGCTCCAAAGTTGCCGACTCGGGAGCCAGAAAAGCTAAGGAGCTGGAATTTCAAAAAGTAAAAATTTTTGTGGGATAGATGTTTACGTGTGTGGATCGCTGTGTGGCGTGGGGCTCTGAGCGTAA